AGCCCCTCAGAGACGGCGAGGCCCCGCTCTGATCTGCGGCGGTTTTCCTGCAGTTCGCAGCCCCGCAGCGACGGCGAGGCCCCGCTCTAATACGCGCGAGAAACACTTCGCTGGACCCAGTCCTCGAAAGAAGCCACTGTTTCGCCGCAGTCCGCGCCCCCGTGTCGGCGGCGAGGCCCCGCCCTGATCTACAAAGACGCCACCCCGCTGGGCGCGCCAGCAGCCCCCGAAAGTGGCGACAGCTGCGCATTGCGCAGCCCCCCAGCGACGGCGCGGACATGCTCTGATCTGCGCGACAGGTCGCTCCGCTGGACCCCCCGGCAGCCCTCGAACGTTGCGAGAGTTTCACAGCTCGCAGCCCGCCCGAGAAGGCGGGGCAACGCAGGGCGGCGAGCACGCGGGCACAAGCCAGGGGAGAGGCAAGAGTGGAGAGGAGGAGGGAAGACGCAGGGGGGGGCAGGAAGGAAGAAGTGGAGACCGCAGCGCTCGATTCCACAAATGAGAACCCAACGCGGGAAGTCGGGGGCGACGACGAAACGCGAACTGCCGCCGAGCACCCCTTAGCGCAGAGCAGCCCGGCATACCCAGCGGGCGAGATCCAATGGCCAAACGCGCCCTCTGTCGTCTTTTGCGCGCGCCTGGCCCAGACTTGTTCGCTGTTTCCGACGAGAGACAAAACGGCCCCCTCATAACAGCTGCTATTCACCCCTCACGGCCGCGACGCCGCGGGACTCTCGCCGGCGCAGAAAGGCGCCGAAGCCCCTACCGCGCGCTGCGCTGCGCAAGGCCAGTTCAACAAAGCTTCCACCGCCCACCCTCCGAGTGGCGGCGCCGGACGGGGAATGGTCAATTCGGCCGGCGCTTCCTGTCCGCGCGCAGTCGCTTGGATATCCGAAGTGCAGACTGGGCCATGTCAGGGCTCGAACAGCGTTTCTATTTAGTGTTCGCGTTGTTTTCGCCCCCTTCGCCACGTCTACTTCCTTCCTTTGCTGCGAATCGAGACGAAAACGAGACAGGCCCACGAGATCGCCAAAACACCGTTTGGCTCGAGCCCTGGAGCTCAACCTCAACGCAATGGGGCGACAGCGTGAGGGGGCGGGCGGCGGATTTCGCATCAGGCCCTCCTGCCGTGGAAGAAGACGCGGATTCACACGGCCGCGCGCCGCGAGGACTACAACGAGAACGGCTGAACTCGAATCAGATCAGCGACGGCCAACGCAGCGAAAGCACGACCGCTTGCACGCGCGCGTTCGCGAACGAAGCCACAGGGACGCAGGAATGGGCGCGCAGCCTCGCGTGACGAGGGTCGGAAATCCGGGGATCAATAGCGATGCCAAAACAGCCGGCGTTGATCTGCACCGGAACTGGTGCAAGATTCCACTGAACTCACTGCGCGCTCTAGTAAAACGCACGTTCGCCATCCGACGTTCGCCATCGCGCGCAATCGCACCGTCAGGCCTGGGAGCGCATCGGACATCAAGAACCCGCCAAAAAGCACATTTGTGCGTTTACGGTCGGGATTGGGTTCGCCTCTGCGTCGTCTCGCAACGCCAGCCTAAGCGGGCTGGACGCTGCAAAATCCAAGCGCGCCCAGCTTCATGCAGAAACTAAAGAGCCTCCATGCCCGGCATGTTCGCTCAGCGCCTGATCGGGAATCATCGCGCGCCTGTCCCGACAACGCCCACGTCTTCGCCCCCGCTCTCGGCGCCCCCACCCCCATCCTGCGAAGGGCATCGCAGGGTCGCCCACCCAAGGTCAAGTCCGATCGCGCGCGGCGGCCGCACGCGCCCCACAAGTGGAGACGGCGATGGAAAAACATGCAATGAGACACACCCCTCTGAGATATGAAAATTGCAGGCAGGCTACTGCGAGGTCAGGAAGTCCACGAAGTCGTCCTCGAAATGTGCTAAATCGAACACTCGCGTGCCATGAAATACTTCGGATAGCGACGTGGCGTGTTTGCTACTCAGATACTTGTTCACGTTATCTGGCCACCTTGTCCTCGGGCGTCCCCGGGGCCGCTTGCCTCAAAGGGGGGGCCATTTCATCAGCATATACCTCTGAACTGAGATTGTCGAAATTCGTCTCGATGCGAGCGACATCATCTTGCAAAAAACGAACGTCAGAGATAAAAGGTTTCGAATTCATGGCAAGCAAGTGTGCAATCGACTTGTTTGTGACACTCTCGCTGACAAGTTCCCTGGCCGTCTCATCTATGTCTGATGCTGCCTCTGCGCCAGGCCCGGGCGCAGCCGCTGCTCCAACGTTGTCAACGATACTGTCCATCTCGTGCAGCGGGCTGGACAACCGAGCCTTCTTGTTCTGAGGGATCGGCGTGGTCGGCACAAGCGATGCAGATGCAGCTGCACCCGTTGGCGCCACCTGCAACACTCCACGCGCTGGGGTGCCTGGCTGTCGAGAGCTCGGCGGCATAATGGGGAAAAATGTTAAAGGTATGTGAGAAAAGAGTGTAGCGTAAGGGGATGTATGCAGACACACGAAAGAGCACCACTGGAATTACCCAAATACAAAGAGCCCACTTGAGCACCACTTGGGCCCACTTGAGCAGGGTCGCCCACGTCGGGCCCGAAAATACGGCAAGGACAAATGGACAGCAGAAGGCGAAGATTACTCGGACGACGCAGGACACTCACCGTACCTCGCACGCAGCGCAGAATCGCATGTCGTTGGTTTGGCTCGCATATGCACGACGAAGGCTGAGCCTCCCTTCTGAGCCCACGCTTCCGCATGGGTCAACCTCCAGAGCTGTCGTGTCCACCTTGAGGAGCCACGCTACTGCGGGCGCTCATGTCCTTGCCATGGAGAATGCTGCCACTTTGCCGCGGCGTCCTAGCATGGCAGCCCAAGCCATTGCCAAACACGACTCTGCGCGAGTGCCGCCACCTGAACGCACCGCACATTGCGATGTCCGTCAGAATCGTTCGGACATGGCTACGGGGGCGTCTTGGACCAGTTGCCGCCCTTATCCGTAGCATGTATTACTCGAGGATCAGCAGACCATTTCTCGAGCCGGCAGCACCTCTCTGGGCCCCGCCAGGGGCAGCAAGTGCTTCAGCCAGTCTCGACGGTGCCTGAACATTCGGCCAACGGCGACGCATCCATGGCGACTTGCTGAGCGGGCTCGCAATCGACCACGACTGGAATGCAGCCAGATTCGTACTCTCGATCCATCATCACCCAATGTGACAGACCGGTCACGAAGGCATGATTGTAATCCGTTATCGTGCCCATGTTTCGTCATGGGAGCCACCCGGTAGCCTCGTCAACCTCACCAGGATGATCGGCAGAGACCACACGCTGTAGACTTCGTTGACGAAGTGATGCGACTATGACGTCCATGAAACCCAACATCGAGAAGGTATTTTGCCAGCCACGCTTGGATGCACACTTCACGGTCGACTCGACAATGAAGCATATTGGCACATCAAACTGCGTGTAACAAAAGCGGCCCCCTGGAGGTACGATACGACAGCGGGGTTGGCTTGCGTAGAGGTACCGTTTCTGGAACGACTGGAAATGCCACCATTTGATACCCGCGAGTCGTTGTTCGTTTTGTGCCAACCGCCCACGCCGAATAGCGCCGATCCTCTGGGACCCTCGCACAATGGCCCCCATGAACGCGGGAAGAGTGGCCTTGTCCTTGAAACCCCAAGATAGGACCAAAAACAGATTTCGCGTTTCTGATGAAGATGATGAACACTTCGCCAGGACGAACCAAAAGACGTCCAAGATGCTGCCCAGCACTTCCATCTCACGTGCCTCGCGGAATAAATAGCACCCCGCAATGGCGGATGAGAGAAAGGGGGGCGGCGGGGACGTCGGCAGCCTGTGAGGCTCTGAAGAAGCCTGCCTTAGACGCCGATGTTTGATCAAAGCAATGTGCGTGGTTCGCAGGGGGGTCGCGGTTGTGTCGCAGGTGGGTCGCGGGGGTGGGTCGCGGGATGGGTGGGGCGGTGGGCCGCGGGGTGGGTCGCGGGCGGGTCGCGGGCGAGGACGACGACAACGCAATAACAACGCAACAACAACGCAACAGCAGTCGACACCGCGGAACCCCACTTCAGCCACGCGCCCAGGGACAATGAATGACCGTTCGGCCCCCTCACTCTGACTAGTTGTCCACTGCTGGGGATTCGGAAACGATATCTTCAAAAACGCGGTGTCAAAGCACCAGCAGCTTGTACTCACGTCTCGGAGCGTCAACGTAGCGACGTACCTTTCCACGCTAGCGCTTGCTCTCATCTCGGTGCGCCGACTCCATGCACACATGGATGAAACGGCCACGCTAGCCGCAATCAGAAATATGGTGTCCTCTTCCACCTCCTCCACCTCCTTCTCCTCCGCCCTCAGTATCCGCACATGGTCGTCGTCACGGTCACCATCCTCATCCACCTCGGCCTCTGCCTCGACTTCCGCCCAGCCCTATTCCTCCGCTGATACTGGCCTGGGAGGTGCCAACAGAAGAGGAGCGAGCAGAAACGAGAACGCTGCGTGCCAGCTCAACGACAGATCTGAAACACAATGTTGACAGGAACTCCGACACAATGTGGAATCCTGAAGTGCGGGGAGGAGAGGAAGAGAAAGAGAAAGGAGAGAGAAACGAGCCAGAATGGAGAGGAGGTAGGAGGCAGGTAAAAATCGGAACGGGGAAAGAAAAGCTGAGGAGAAGAAGATATAAGGAGGGTCGGAAACGAAGGAACAGTGCGCGAATATGCCACCCCATTGGATAATGAACCCAGAAAGAGCCGCTCCTGGGCGAACAATACGAGCAAATGCGCCGTTGGCCAGAACTGTCAAGCGATAGGCAAGCACGAATGCTTCCAACATGCTCATAATTGTCGGCCAGATTTCACGCTGAATATTCAAACACGAATTTGCAGAACAATATCCGTAGGACGGTCGCCGCTTGCCGTCCGCATTATTCCAATGCCCCTCCCCCGATCACAGTGTACAACACCCCGCAACATGACAGCCAACGGAGCCTGGCACTGCCCCCGTGTTGGACACCAGCACGCACAGCGAGGCGACGACAGCCTCCCCTCAACGACTGCCCATGGTACTTCGCATGGGCAGTATGCCTATACTTGATGGGGCACCTATTGCTTCCATCGTGGATAGCCCCCCCCCCCCGCGCCTGCCCTCCTGAGACGGCCCGTGCCGCAAGGCTGGGCCAGGGCGCCTGCCTGGCATCGAAGCCCGGGGGCCACCCCAAGAGCGAGGCACAGCAGCGACAAGGCCAGATGTACCACCCAGAATTGCCCGCAACCTGTGGGACAGTGAGGCCAGGGGCAGTTCAGCGCAAGCGACTCGCGAAGCGGCTGGTCGCCAAGAATCTCACCTTCTCCCCTATCCTGATCCTGGTCCTCCCCACCTCACCATCCATCCTGGTTCACCACTCATTGGTCGACAATCCGCCGACCCCCGCTCGCCCGTAGTGAAACAGGCGTGCGAGATGACTGGTTGTCACCCCTCCCGCTTTCCCCCCCCCACTGGGGTCTACAATCCCGTAAGAGCCCCCCCTTAGGGGGTGGACGGTGGAAGGGCTTGCCAACGCACCCCTGGGGCCTCGGGAGCCTCCAAATCCAACATCCGTCGCCTCCAAAACGCTCAAAATGCTTTCCGATGCGGCGCAAGAAGGGCACCTACGTGCCCAGATGGCCTCAAACGCACTCTAGATGACCTCAAGACTGCCCAAAGACGCCGAAAGAGGGCCCCAAGAGGACCCTCAAATGGGTCCCAATAGACAAAAATCAATGAATTTGCTCAGGTTGTCGACTGAGTTTCGCGGTCTCGCGTTTTCGGGCACCTGCTAATAAAAATCTGCGCGAGAGACCCCCCAGATTGGCGTAAGACGGCACAAGAAGGCCCCAAGACGACCCAAGAAGGCCGCAAGACGGCCACAGAGGCCCAGAAGACAACGGAAAAAAGGCCCCAAGGGGTGCCCAAGAGAGAACCCACAAGAACCACACGAGCCTTACCCAACAAGATGGCCCCCAAGACCCCAACACCACCCCAAGAGACCCCCAAGGAGCCCAACGAGGACCCCAAAAACGCCCCCGGGTGCCTTGACACAGCCCCAAGCGGCCGATCCCTGGGCTGGTTCCAAGAAGCCCCCAAAGCCCCGCAACAGACACGGAGGAAGAGGAGGACGAATCAGTGACAACTACACGCAGCCACGCAGTCAGCAAGATGGGAAGTAGCAAACAACACACACTCACACACGCTTCTTGGCGGTCGCGGCCTTGCACGCAGCGACGAAGCGAAGAAAGTCAAGAACAACGGCCGGGGCCCCGCGCGCAGCAGGCTCAGAGGGGGGCAGCGCCATACACACACACACACACACACACACACACTCTTTTTGGGCGTCGTGGCCCCGCGCGCGGCGACGGGGCGTAGAACGTCAAATGTCAGCGGTGGAACGCGCGCGTCTACGCCCGGCACACAACACACACACACACGCACACACACACACAAACGAGATCGGAAGCCGCACATCTCCTCCTCTGGGGATCGGCGGAGTGGCGTAAGCCTCTTGAATCAAGCAGTCGGCCCAGTGTCCGCAGCGCGCTCTTTCATCGCGCTGGTCGCTCCAAGCGCGACCCCGCCCCAGCAGATTCCGACTCTTCGAGATGCGCACCAAGGCTGTTCGCACCTACCATTGCCGCAACCCCGAAGACGCCACGATGGTCGGGAACACCGCCACAAACCTCTCTGCCGGGACCCCAGGCTCCTTGAGCCCAGCGGCGCAGCCCACCCCAAAGGCCCACCGAAGCTGACGCGCTGTCGCACGGCGCAGCGCCACGCTCGGATCGAAGCCGCACTGGGCGACGAGCTGGCCCGCGATGTTCTCGGCCGAGCAGTCCTCCTCCCCCTCCTCTTCCAGCAATAACGCCCGCAAGCGGGCGAAACCTCGCAGCTGTTGCACGGCCGCCCTGCCGTGGCGGCCTGCGGCTTCCACTGACTGCCTGCCGGGTTGTGATCGTGCTTCCCGGTTTCGGCGGCCGCGCTCATCGCGCCGTCGCAGCCCGCGGCTGCGCGCAGTGCCTCGACGTGACCGCATTATTGGACTCCCGAAATGGGTGCAGAAAAAATGGGTACAATGCCCAATAACACTTGTGTTCGAAACAGACAGCGGCCGCTGTTGGGCAGCCGGCTTTCGTCTGCGGACAGCGAAGTCTGTTCAAAATGGACAGGAGCTGCTGTTGGGCATCGCGCCCATTCTTTCCGTATCCATTTAGATCGTCCCGAGCATACGCGTTGCCAGGCGGTGACGTAGATGCCGAGGATGCCCCCCCCCCCCCCCGTGCGGTGGCCAGACCACCACCACGGGCCGCGCAAGCGGCCTCGGGCCGCACCGCCGAAGTCCTGCGCGCGCTGCCGCCAGCACACCGCCACAAACGAAGTTCTTTTGAAACCACATAACGCGCGTTATGTGGGTGGGCGGGTGGGTTTGCTGGCACTTCTGAGGACTCCTGGATGGCGTCCGAGTAGATGGGGATCGCGCCGGCGCCGCATCGCCAATGCATCGGCGGTGCATCGGCGATGCAACGTCGACATCGTCGGCGATGCATCGGCGAAGTCGGCGAAGTCGGGTGGGCAGGTGGGTTTGCTGGCACATAGCTTAACACATCCGTGCCGAGCCGACTGAATTGCGTCGACTTGCTGGAAGCAGTGCTGCGGCTGAGATGGCTGCTACTGATGGTGCGACGATGCTGCCACTGATGTCGGGGGCGCGCAAACATGGATTGGCAATCCATGGATTTGGCGCGCGGTCGCCAAATGCATGGATCGGGGGAGGTGCCCTCCCCAAAATGCGGCCAGTGCCGCCTCGCTCAGAGGCGGAAATCCGCGATTTCCCATGGAAACGGGATCCGTCGCTAATCCACGCTCCCATGATCCATGTTTGCGATCGCCTGATGATGGTGCGACGATGCCAGCGCCGTCTGGAAATGCCCAGGAAGAAGTGAGGACAGCTAGATTTAGCATATTGGTGGGGACCGGCTAGGGATAAGTAGTCGCAACGGTGGGGATTTGTTGAGAATAGCCAACTTCAATGATAAGGTGCTGGTGATTGTCGATTTTCCTGGCCCCAGGGTGCATTTCCCCAGATCGGACCCAGCACACCATACTGCTTGCGCGCACGTCTGCGCATGTGCACACGACAGTGTTCGTGTCCATCACAAGTGCCGAAGCAGGAATCTGTACGCATCACACCGCCTGTGAACACCACAGCGCCTGCACACACCACAGGGTTCCGAGGAGCTGCAGAATGGGGTAAGCATATGGAATGCACGTGGACCAAAGTCCACTTCAGCTTTTCAACTGGCGATCCAGCTCGCATTCGCGAATCCTCGCAGCTGCCGGGTTCTGTCTGCGGGGTTCTTGTGGAGTCACAAGAACAGGCGTTGGAATCGAGATTCTCTTCCTCCTCCCCCTCATCCTCCTCCGCCCCATCCTCGTTCGCACATCCTCTTTTCCTCATTCTCGTCCGCCCGATGATCGTGAGTACAGCAACATAGCTTGCACCATCCAAATCTTTTTGAGCACACCAGATCTGCCCTAGAAACACACATGCATATTACCGCAACGGCGCCCCTGCGAGGGTGCACTACAGTGCCCGTGTAAACTACAACGTTTCTGTGCACCACAACGCCTGCGTATACCACAGGCGTGTGTACACCACAACGCCTATGTCCACAACAATTAGTAGATGCACAACACAGCCTCCGCACATCACATTGCCCATGTGCACCTGTGCATGGTTACCCCACCATGATTGTGTACATCGCAACGCCTTTACACACCACAGCTGCTGCAGCAACATATGTGTGAACCATGACGCACGTATGCACCACAGTGCCCGTGTACACCACCAAGACTGTGTACATCACAACGCGTGACTAAACCACAACGTCCGTGAGCACCACACCTGTTGCGTCAGCACCTCTCGTGTGCACCACAGCGCCGCGCCTGCGCATACCACAATACCTTGTGTGCACCCCCAGGATCGCGAATCCCACCAGCCCTCTGGGCGTAGGTGGTTTAGGGAGTTTCCTCTTCGACCCCCCCTTTTTCCCCTTCGGGGAGGGGGCTATCACTTTTCAGCTTTAATATGCGACCGGGGGCCATCCATGCACCATGCCGACACCATGGCCACCCGTCCAGACCATCCCTGACAAAAAAACAATACAAACCGCAATCTGCCTCCACATTTGGAGCATGCGCGGCCAACCCGATGCGGCCCTCCACACCATCCCTGTCAAAAACCACTGCAAAGTACACTTTGGGGCAAAGTCTTGAGTCACGTTCGTGAGGCCCGCGAGCACTGCGTATTGTTTTTGGCAAGGGCGGCGGGGGTGTCAGCATATTCCCTGCTGCGCGCAGGGCTACCACCCCTGACAAAAAATCAATACAACATGCACCACTGTCAAGTGGTTTTTGACAGGGGCGGCGGGGGTGGTGGCGCGTGGCCTGCTGTACGCAGGCCCAGCTGACACAATGATGGGCATCGGTTTTAGATAAGGATGGCGGGGGCCGACATGTTTCCCGATGTGTGCTGTCACATGCGCAGGCGCACCTGACGCACTCTGCACGTGCCCCGAACGCGGCGTACCTGGCGCGGCTGGAATGTGCGGCACACCTGGCGCACTCGGAGCACGTGGCGCATCTGGCGCACCATGTGTGCCTGGCACGCTCGGGCCCCAAGGGTGCCTGGCGCGTGTGGCGCCCCTGGCACGCGTGGCGCACCTCGCCCGAAGGTCGCGCACATGGGGTCGGCTTTGGTTCCCAGTAGCTGTCCATCCAAAAACGACCGCTGAACATGCTCAGGTTCGGGTGTTACTTATGTGTAGGGAGGGCGGGTGGGAGTGAGCTAGACGGTTTGCGGGCGGGTGGGTGTCTTGACCCCTCCCACTACTGTACCCCCCCCCTGGACCTGGACGGGGCCGGTCGCGAGCGGTCAGAACGTCCAAAACGGACTCGGCGAGGAAGCTAAACTCATTGGTTTTACTAGGGTGTTGGCCCCACTTTGGCCTCCTAGGGGGGGGGGGGGGGGGGGGGCAACCCTAATTGAAGCTCCCCTCTTTTTTGATCGATGTCTTCCAAGATGGCCCCAAGAAGCGCCCAGGAGGCCCCAAGAGGTCCCAAGATGGCCCCAAGAGGGCCCCAAGAGGCCCCCAAGAGGCCCCCAGGAGGCCCCCAAGAGGACCACAAGCGATCCCCCGAGGCCCCGCCGAGGCACCCATGACGCCCAAAACAGAGCCCCCCAGGACCGCCAAGAGACCCCCAAAACGTCCCAAGAAGCCACCAAGAAGCGCCCAAAGGATACCCGAAAGGACTCCGAGAGGCATCCAAGAGACCTGTGGCCTTTTTGCTTGCCCTCCTCCTCCTCCTCCTCCTCCTCCTCCTCCTGTTCCTCCTCCTCCTCCTCCCCCTCCTCCTCCTACTCCTTCTCTTCCTCCTCCTCTTCCTCCTCCTCCTCCTCCTCCTCCTCCTCCTCCTCCTCCTCCTCCTCCCTCTTCCTCCTCCTTCTCTTCCTCCTCCTCCTCTTCCTCCTCCTCCTCCCTCCTCCTCCTCCCTCCTCCTCCTCCTCCTCATCCTCCTCCTCCTATTCATCCTCCTTCTCCCCACTCCTTCGTTCGTTCATCCATCCAGCCTCATCCTTCTCCTCCTCCCTCCTTCGCACGGTTCGGCCGCTCCCGCACTTCCCTTATCACCTCAACTCGCCTGGACATCGTTTATGGATGGGCTGGTGGGGACACTTTTTTGTGGTCGGCGGTTCCGAGGCGGCGGACAGGGAGCGGAAGGCGTCGTCTGGGCCAGCAGGCGAGGCGAATTAGCTACAACAGGCAACACACCTGCAGTAATAAAACGCCAAGAAAGCGCATGTGCACATGCAAAAAACAAAATGCTCCACATTAAGGCGAACGCACCTAGGCGCCACACACAGGTGGAGCAGCCGCAGTGCTACGCAGCGGAAGAGTCGCCCTGTCGGCGCCAGTCCGCGCAGCCAAACTAGCCGAACAGGCAGGTAGCACCGAAGCGACACGCTGAAGGCTGAACCACTCCGCGTGAGGTACCACCGCCGTACGCGGGGTCGGCTGAGCCAGGGCAGGGACCTACAGAGCTCTCACTCCACGATCCACCCGCTGCCCATGGTGGGGCCGGTGCGTCAGCCATCGTCTCCGAAACCAGTCACAGGCCAGGGAGCAACGATGGGAGCGGACACGCGGGCCCAAGCGCCAGTACTGCCGCCAAGCGGGTAACGGCCGAAGGTCGCCGAGGTACGCTGCAGCCGCGGCCGGCACATAGGCGCTGGGGTGTAGTCAAACCCGAAACTGACCACAGTGAGAGCCGGGGGACGGCAAGTACCAACAAAGCACTCACTCCGCGGACCGCACTGCTGCCCGGGGGGGCCGGTGTGTCGTCATCGTATCCGAAACCAGTGACTGGTCGGGGCTGCAACGATGAGGGAGGACATGCTGGCCCAAGGGCCCGTAAATTGCACTTGCAGGTACCAGTCACGATAGTCGCCGAGATTCGCAGCTGACGCGACCACCTCATGGAGCGCTGGAACGCAGCAAGGGCTGAATCTGACCACGGGGTGGAGAGGGGGGTGCAGCCAACAGCCGCAATGTACACATGTGTCGGAGAGGAGAAGGTAGAGGAGGAATGGAGGCGCAGCCAACAGCCGCATTCACATTTGCATTGACAGAGGAGGAGGGAGGCGCAACCAACAGCCGCAATGTCACATGTGTAAGGTCGCCACTTCCCTCGTCATCTGGCGGCCTCTCGGGGGAGAGACCCGCCACTGCGTGGGGCTGTACAGGCGCCTGTCCCCATGGTGGGTGGACAGCGCTATCCGCTCCAGTGGGCTGATTAGCCTCCTCATGGCCCTCTCTAGGGTGCCCATCCACTACCGCCTCTCGATTCCCCTCTGGGGCGTCAGCATCGGGGAGGGTGCAGCCACCAGCCGCGATGAAACATGTCATGTATCATCTGGTGGGGATACGCGAAGCGTCTAGAATTCAAGGTGCTAACAATTGTGATGATTCAACTTTCTGGTTCGGGGTACGTACGGTCCCCACCCGCGGCTTTGAATACGACAGCGCTTGTGTACACCAGTTGCTCGTGTGCACAGCAGTGACTGTTTCACCACAGCGCTTGTGTACACAATCATGCCTACACAAACCACAGCTACTGCAGGAGCAGCAGGTGTGTATGTGTGAGAGGAGGACGAGGGGGACGACGAGGAGGAGGAGGAGGAGGAGGAGGAGGAGGAGGAGGAGGAGGAGGGGGCGCCCCCTAGCGGTCCGGTTCGGCCGCGTCGCCCCCGCAGGCCGCGAGGCTGCAGGCCACCATGCTCTCCAGCGCCTCCTCCTGTCGACGTCGGGCGTCGTCGTCGTCGCCCCTCGTCCTCGGCATCGCCCTCCTCCTGCTGAGTCTTGCATGCAACGGTCAGGGATCGAGCATGTTAAACCTTTGGAGGCGTTCTTGCGCCCCCCCAGAGTCTTCAGACTAGAAGCCGCGGGGGATCTTTGGAGCCTCCAGAGACCTCGTCGGGGTGTCGTTGGGCGTCTTCGCCGCCCACCTCCTCCTCCTCCTCCTCCTCCACCTCCTCCTCCACCTTTTCATCCTCGGTCGGTCGGTCAGATACTGTCGACTTCAAGTTAGATGCCGCCGATTCCAGTCTGGGTAAATCGAGGAAAAGTGGAAGGGGGGACACAGAGCAGCACAGGTTGTCCCTTTGGCCTTCGTCGCCGTTGACACCTTCGATGTCACATAGGCGGAAGGGGTCAAGGGAGCCCTCGCAAGCCTCGAGAACAGCTTGCAGCTCGAGCTTTCTGGGAGAGGGTAAGGATCTCTAAGCAGAGGCAGTGGAAACATGAGCATGTAGCTCCCTACCCTCCCCCTCCCCAGGGAGCGGCGTTCCCAACCGCAGGTGTGCAGGCATCAAGTGAGAGTGCACAAGCTCGCCTGCTGCGATGGACGCACAACCGCCCTGAGCACACATTCGGTCCGCCCCAGCCGCCGCCAAAGGCTGAGGACGAGTCGAGGCGGGGGAGGCGGGGGGTCCCTTCATCAATACAGGCACCTCGTTTTGCCAAGCCGCGGTAAACTGCGCGAAGCACAAACGACAGCAGGCGGTGGTATTTTCTAACGTGCGCTCCAAAATCCGTTTCCGCTCCTAAGTTCACATGTCGGCCTGGCCCCCTGCCTAATCAGAGAGTGCGCCCCCCACGTCCCAACATCGAGCACACCACAATTTGGTTAGCTACAAGGCTGATCCAGACCTGCAAATCCGTTCTGATAGTGCACGGGCTACTGACATCAAGCTGAAGTATGTTCCTGTTATGGTTCATGAGCAAACACACTCTCTCTTTCTGTCTCTCTTCTGCACTCCTCGAAGCAGACTGATTCAAGCAAACCGCCCTGCCCGGGGAGGTCTGGTAGCGTCCGAGGTCTCCCCTCGATCGGAGGGGCCGGAAGAACTGTGGGGAAGTGAAGAAGGAGGGGGTCGGGAGCCCCTGGGCCATCGCAAAGCGAGGGGCCCAAACCCAGACATCCGGCTGCTCCAATTTGCTTCGATGCCTGGGCCCCGGAGGCATGGACCACTTCCCAGGGCTGTTTTTTCGTCCTGGGTCGATTTCTCTGGTCCCGAGGCCAGGCGAAGGCCACGAGAGGCCGAAAATGACCCTAATCCGGCCGCTCCAATTTACCGGGTCGCCAGTTCTTTGGGAATATGTGTGTCCCAGAGCTTCAGGAGCATTGTCGTGCCTGCATGCGGCGCTGCTTGGTTTTCCCGTCCGTCCTGTGGTGCTGGGTCCTCGTTTTGAAGAGCCAGCACCCCGCGTCTCCACCTCTCCTCCTCCTCCTCCTCCTCCTCCTCCTCCTCCTCCTCCTCCTCCTCCTCCTCCTCCTCCTCCTCCTCCTCCTCCTCCTCCTCCTCCTCCTCCTCCCTCCTCCCCCTCCTTGCCTCTGCTTGCCTCTGCCCTCCGCATGTTTCGGTTTCGGCACACCCAGTACAACGTTTCGTGGCCCGAGGCCCCAGTGGCAGGACCCGCATGCCGCCACCTCGCCATTTCGGCTCACCCCTCACACGCTTCGTAGCCCCGTAGAGAGCTCTACCGAAGGCCCCAGTGCCAGGCCCGAATGCTGCCACCTCGCCATTTCGGCACACCGCCCACACGTTTCGTGGCCCCATAGGGAGCTCCACTGAAGGCCCCAGTGGCTGCGTTCGCATGCGGTGCCAGCCCCCCATTTCGGCGAACCCCTCACGCGTTCCGTGGCCCCACAGGGTGCTCCACCAGAGGCCCCAGTGGCAGCGCCCGCATGCGGTTCCATCCTACATGTTGGCGCACCCCTCGCACGTTTCGTGGCCCCATATAGAGCTCCACCGAAAGCCCCAGTTGAAAAGGCCGCCTCCCGCCGACGGGCCACTTTGGCACGCCCCTCAAACGTTTTGTGCCGCACAGGGGGATCCACCGAAGATAGCACTCACAACTGCGGTACGTATCACTGCTTATGGTTCGGTCTTTCGCCAAGCTAGTGTTAGCTTCCGTCCCCTGGTGTTGCCGTTCCGTGCGCGTGTTGTCAGAGGTGCCCCTGCTGCCAGCGGCGATCCGTGCAACAGCGCTGGTATAGGGTGTCCGTGACAAGCAGGTCGGGTTGGTGCCTCCTTCTGTTTCCCTGGCCAACGTGAGAGCTATATATAGTCTGCATCGTCGCTGTGGTGTCCATTGGAGGAGCAAGCAATGGCATATACGTAACAACTCGGAAGTCCGTGTGGATTCTCGGATCTGTGCAGGGTCCCCTCCCCTGGCGCGCGGAGCGCGCCAAAGGCGGCGCCGGAGGCGCCACCAGCCATACCGCCGATCCGAGGAATCCGCGCGGACCTCCTAGTTCTTAGGTTTATGCCATTATGCGTTCCCAGATCCAAAGTGCAGAAGTTCTGGAATTCGGCCTCTCCTGCAGTCCGTGTAACTGCTGGCACATGCCAAGGGCTGCTTCAAGCCGTTTGCCCGAGCTGTCTCGGGGCAACTCCTACTACCAGTGCAGAGAGACGAACCCTCTGATGCCTGGCCATTTGGATCCGTTGATGCATGCTTCCGTTCTGCGATGGTTCTTCTAAAGCACGTAATAACAACATCGTCCATTCTTTTCAATTTACGAGCAAGCCGTGTAGCATATGCAGCAGAGGTGGGGGGGGGACCGCCGCTGAGGACCTGACAAAGTATCTCAGCCTAGCAAGTCTCCTTACTTCCTGAGCCCCTAATCGGTTATATTCACTGGACGCAGCACATGCCTCCTCCTCTTCCTCCTCCTGATCCTCCTCCTGACCCTCCTATACCTCGTCTTCTTCCTCCTCCACCTCCTCCTCCTCCTTCTCAACAATCCCTCTCCTCCTGTCGACGGGGGGGGGGGCTCCTCCTCCCCCCGCCAACGCGCGCTCCTATGTGTGCAGGAGTGCTCGTGAGGGGGCGCAACCGGACAGAGAAAGAGCGGCTCATGGCTGATAGGGCGTGAGAGAAGATCACGTCGTATCACATCCGACCCAGCCTTCATTGTAATAGCGATTCGCAGGGATAGGTTCAGATACCTCCTAAGAGAGGGAGGGAAGGAGCGAGGGCAGCAGGAAGGGAAGGAGGGAAGGAGGGGAAAGGAAGAAGGGGCGGACGAGGGCATGCCCTGCCCACCGGGGAGGCTCTGGAGGGGGACGTTCCCAAATTGGGGGTTCAGGGTCCCAGCCTTGGGATCCCATCACCGACTGCTTCCACACGTCAGGTGCTGCTGCCTGGTTCCGCCATGTGTTGCACAAATCGTTCATCCGTTTGAGTCCGCTTGGGTCCGCCGTAGCGATTGCTTCCAAGCGATCTGTAAGTATCCGCCAGTGCCTTGTGCGCGTTGAGGCGTGGTGGACTGTCAAGGGCTTCCTGATAAGGCTTCTGCCTTCTAATACGGGGCACACACATAACCCTATCGGCGAGAATAATCCAGCAAGGGGTCCAGGAACGATCACATTTCTTCACGGAAATATCGATGTTAGGATCTCTGGATCGGTCTTGAAGAGCCTCTATGATGGAGCCTCCATACTTCTTGAGGGCCTCCCTGGAGATGTTGGAAGAGCACAACTCCTATGAAATACGATGGTAGCGTGGTACATCGGTTCCTCTCGAGGCGCCTCCTAGGAGAAGTCAGATGAGCGCAATCCTGTGACATACTATGGGGAAATGGTACATTGGATCCTTTCGGGAGGCCTCCCTGGTCGTTGTTTTTCGGGGATGACAAGCGCCTGGGATTTCCAAAATCTGGCCTGGGACGGAAGAAGGAAGGAGGAACGGGAGACAGATGCGAGAAGAGAAGGAGGATGACAAGATAAGGAGAAGAAGGAAGAGAGAGGGAGGGGAGCAGGAGCAGGAAGAGCAGCAGGAGAGGGATGAGGAACAGACAGTCCATTTTCGCGACAGTGCGTTTTACAATGACAAGCGCATTGCTTGAGAAATCCTCGAAAAGCGGATGGTCGCGAACTCGGCGAATCTTCTAAAATGGGCGCTTCGCTGAGACATTCTGACAATAATTTAACAAGGATTACTCATGGTGCGATGCGTGCTATGAAGATCAAAACTACAATGCGAACTTTGAAACGGGTAGGAAAGTTCGCCGCCCCGCCTGCCGTGGCAATTTGAAACACCATGTACAGCCCAGGGAGGCATAATCAGATATAAAAGGTTAGAGCGGGGTCCTGTATCATCGTCGGCATGAGGTTACACCCTACCCGCGTTCCCTGCATACATTGCTCCCCTAAGAGGCCACAATCCTTCGCAAAAAAAAAAAAAACATACAAAAAAACGCGCTCCCGAGGCCACGATCCCTCGTTAAACTGGGCCGATCCTTCGGCGTGTGTGAAACGCTGGCGTCGTTGCGCTCGAAAACGTCGTCGTCGTCGTCGTCGTCATCGTCATCGTCGTCGTCGTCGTCGTCATCGTCGTCGTCCGTCCCAAGAAAATGATGGAAAGAATCGGGACGTCGTACTTAAACCGGTTCCCCTCCCTTCATCCCTTCCCTGCCCGCGGGAAGGGTCCCGGGTCAGAACGCCGCCCTCCCTGGGTCGCGGCGGGTCCCGGGGAGGACCGCCAGCGGAGGTCCTTGGGTCCTGGAACGGGTCCTGGGAGTAGGGGGGGTCCTCTGGGAAGGGTCGCCAGCCTGGGTCCCAAGGAAGTCCCGCCTTCAGGGTCGGCGGCACCAGCCGTAAAGCATTCGCAACCGATTGATCCGCAAGATGCCTCGAAGACGGCCTGAGATGGCCCCAAGGCGGCCATGATGAGAGACGGCCAAAGGTGCCTCCAAGAGGGCCCGAAAGGGCCACGAGAGGACCTCCAACAGGGTCCGAAGAAGCCAAAACCATTGATTTCCCTTGGGTGTTTGAATGATTGTCGAATTATCCATCGCCTTTTCGGGCCCCCGTCAGCTCAAGACGGCTCAAGAAGCCTCCACGATGTCCCATAGACGGCCACAAAGGTCGGGCCGTTAGATGGCCCAGGGGGTCCCACGATGGCCCAAGAAACATCCAAGACGGCCCCAAGACGGCCCAAGACGGTCGCCCGTGGGACCCAAGACGGATTTAGAAGCCTTTCGACTGCCCAAAAAAGGCCCCGCGATGGCCCCCAGACACCAATCATACGGACAAGAGGAACCCACGACGGCCCAAGACAGCCCCAGGACGGCGCAAGAGGGCCCCAAGATGGCCCAAGAGGGACCCAAGGGACCCCCAACACTGCCTCATAGGAGGCCAAGACAGCCCCAAGACGGCCGAAACGAGTTACATGAGAGCTCCTCGAACAGAAAGGACATGTGACGGTGTTCCTCTTCTTCCTCCTCCTCCTCCTCCTCCTCCGCCATCTCATCCTCCTCCTCCTCCTCCTCTTCCTCCTCCCCCTCCTCCTCCTCCTCCTCGTCATCTTCCTCCTCCTCCTCCTCGTCCTCCTCATCCTCCTATTCCTCGCCTTCGCCATCGCACTCGTCCTTATCATCATCATCTTCATCATCATCATCATCATCATCAGCATCATCATCAGCATCATCATCATCAGCATCAGCATCAGCATCATCATCATCATCATCATCATCATCATCATCATCATCGTCATCGTCATCGTCATCGTCATCATCATCATCATCAGCATCAGCATCAGCATCAACATCATCATCAGCAGCAACGGCATCAGCATCAGCATCAACATCAGCATCAGCACCAGCATCATCATCACCATCATCATCGTCATCATCAGCATCAGCATCATCATCACAAACATCGTCATCATCATCATCATCATCATCGTCATCAGTATCATCATCATCAGCATCATCATCATCACAGGCAGCAGCCACATCATCATTACCACCACCGCAATCATCACCAGCATCACCATCATCACCATCATAACCATCAGTACCATCGGCAACAGCAGCGGCCTTATCACCACCATTATCAGAATCGCCATCATCATCATCATCATCACCATCATCAGTACCATCATCATCATCGTCAGCACCATCATCACAGCAACCATCAGTACCATCATCATCATCATCAACATCAGTATCCTCATAATCCTCGGCAGCATCATCATCAGCAGCATCATCAGCATGATCATCAGTATCGTCGTCGTTATCATCATCCATGACCCACCGCCACAATCATCCTCAGTATCATAACCAACATCATCAACATCATCATAATAATAATGAAACCCAGCAACAGCATCATATGAATATCGTCATCGGCACCTGCATCAGCATTAGCATCAACATCATCACCCTCATCATCACCATCAGCATCAACATTGTCATCATCGTCGTCATCAGCATTCATCACCACCGCCACCATCATCATCCTCTGCATCTTAGTCATCGTTCTCAGCATCAGCATCAGCATCATCATCACAATCAGCCTCAGCATCATACTCATCGTCGTCAACATCATCATGATCTTCAACATCAATAGCGTCATCAGCGCAATCGTCACCAGAAGCAGCAACATCATCATCATTATCACCATCATCATCATCAACACCATCATCATCGTCATCATCGCCGCCACCGTCAGGTCCATCCTCATTCTCGTCCGCAGCATCACCAGCACCATCATCATCATCATCAACATCATAATCGTCATCATCGTCATTGTCAACGTCACCATCACCGTCATCGCCATCATTGTCTCTCCATCCTCTCTTCATCGTCCTCATATCCACCATCATCCTCATCATATCCGTTATCATCAGCATCATCACCCCCTTCAACACCAACATCAACATCATCACCATGACCATGACCATCATTATCATCATCAGCATCATCACCGCCGCCCCACCCTCGAACAGTCCACCCAGAATGCTTGGCTCGCACGGGGGCGGGACTTGCCACAGGCACCGGGATCTTATCCACTCCAAAAGCTCTGCTGCGCATTAGCATGTGTATTGCTTTACCAGCCCCTCCATCTGTAACCTCTGATTACACTAACTACTGGCGATGTGTCTGCCACTGGATCCTCGTCGTCGTCGTCAACAAATTCACCAAATCGCGTTTCCCATTGCGGAACGGAAAGGAACGAAACGGAACGGAAACCGGCGCAAGGATCTGCGAAGGAACTGCCGGGAGGGCCGACATGCGCGCACATGTCAACGTAATCGTCCTCCAGATGGTTCCACGTTTCTGACTTCGTGGCTCGTGCATAACAGTCGCAACCAGCAATGTTCAACACATGTCGTCTGGTATCATCCTCCCTTTTGGTCTTGGGGCGCCGTGGGCGCCCCCGTGCGGGCGGACGTAGGTGAGGTGCGGAATCCAACTTGTGATTTGGGTCGGCCATTCCGATACTTTCATAGAAACAACTTTCTGTGCCCATGCCCACGGTCGTGTCTGTAAATCGTGGCCCAATCGTCCACCTTGTATGCCCGCATTCGTCGTATTGCCTCGTGGGTGGTTCATCATATCCAGTGTGGCCAAGGCTTCAGTAAAGAGTCGGCGTCGATCATGTCAGTGGTCGGCTGGGTGGTGGGGTAAAAAATGGCGTTGATGAGAAGCGGAGCAGTAGCTCAGGGCGGCGTCGGTAGGCGAGATGGCGATAGTGATCGGTTCGAAACGCGCAGGATCATGTTGAGTATCCAGCGCTGGATGTCAATGTATTCTGCATGTCTCGTCAAGCTTGCACTTCCGTACAACACAGTAGGTGTAATCGTGCCGTTCAAGGGCCAGTGTCGGTCACGTCAGGAATATGCTTTGTGTGTTACTTTTTGCTTCGCACGTGAAACTGCTTCCGAACAACGGGCACTCAATTGTCGGGTTAGGTCTTGCGTGGTTTCTGAAAATTGTATCCTTGTTTCCACGTGCCTGGCGGTGCGGTACAGGGGTATTATTTCGATCACCATGTGGTTCGCATGTACACGCGCTGGAGGTCGCCGCCTGCGAGTAAATCCGTTGCCGTTGTGTAGGACCTTCGTCTTACTGGGATGCAAACGTAAGCCGACATGTGGTGCTTGTTTGCTCAGGTCAGGGACCACGCTCGTGCCGTAGATTGGTGTCCCGATCATGCCTGAGCATCAAGTGGTATGCCCATGCGTTGCTTGCCCCAACGCGATGTCAGCGCACGCATCAGCTGCTCTGCAACGCTGCTGAAGAGGAGAGACCTGAGAGGGTATCCCTGTTCAGCACCTCGCTGGATAGAGACACGCTGACTTGTCTTGTCAGTGCAGATTGCTGCCGTTTGGTTGTAGTACAGATTTTCCAACAGAGACATACGTATGGTCGTTGGACACTTTGTTCTGCGAGTACCACCCAGGCGCTCTCGCGCGTGACGCTGTGAAACGCCTTCTAGAACCCGACTGTTGCCACCCACAAAGGTACCTGACACTCGTTCAACTTATCTTGTAAGATCGATAGTGTTGTAAAGGTGGTCGACGGTCCCTGGGTGAAGGCCAGCTTTGTCGGCGCTCTGGTGTGAGTCGAGGACTTTGTGTAGTCTGGTGTGCATGAATCGCGAAAACAACTTGTATCACAACGGAATTGTGGCATTCGGTCTGAAATTGTCCGGCAGTCGTGGGTCCCCAAGTCGCCGTTCCCATTGTACGTTCGCCAAAGAAACTGTCATTATTTCGTCCCTAACCAAAGTTCTGAAACTTCTGCTGCGTCGACGCTTGGGCCTGCCTTGTTGCTCGAAGCGTCTCACCCACCAGTCAAAATCTGTGCATCAGTCAAAACCGTCTTGTCTCGTTTGCATGATGTGCGCACCTATTTCAACGGCATGCCTCTTCTACTGTGTTGTTGGCAGCTCGTGCCTCACCGCGCAGAATCTCCATCTGGGGTGAGTGGATCTGAGCATGAGCGACTAGCTCTCGCCCTGGTGCCGCGCAGAGGAGTGGGTTGCCCAGATCATCTCAGTTCGCGCCTCGCGACGCGGCGGAGCGAACCCTCGCATCATGGCAGCCACCGCGAGCCACCTCTGAAACTATAAGTGTTCATTTGCAAGGGCCGGTGGAGGCCTGTGAGACATCCAGAGCTTCCCTTCCCAACGACGACGGCGAGGGAGGCAATGACAAGGAGCAGGCCTCCTCAGAAGGCGGGGGACTTCTCGGAAGCCCCCGCGCCTCCTGAGAAGCTTCCCGTGTCCTCGGGGAAGGCTCGAGAAACTTCCCAGCGCGCCGGGGAGCTTCCGAGCCTTCTGAAAAAGGTCCGCCCCCTTCTCGCTTCCCCCTGGGCTCGCAGACCGACAAAGACCTCCACCCTCGCATCCTCGCAGCCGTAACCCTCACTGCTCAGATCCTCGCCCGCCCGCGGGCCGCGGCCGCTTCTCTCTTTCGGGCGGCCCCAGCTCCGGCGGCCGGAGGAAGAAAGCGACGTCCGCGCAGTCCTGGAAAAAGCCAGCAGGAGGGGAGCCAGAGAAGTCGCTGGGGACCTGTGGGCGCCCGAAACGAGGGAGCAGGAGGAGAGGGGAGGGGGAGAGGGAGGGAGAGGAGGAAGAGAGGAGAAACACGAAAGGATGACGATGCAAAGAAGAGAAAAGGAGGCATGAGGAAAGGAGGCCGGAAAAAGGGCAGGAGGAGGAGAATGAGAGTAAGCCCAGATGCATCACTGAACACCCTCCCGCCCCAGCTACCCCCTCCCTCGCAAGTCCTCACAGTTCCATTCGGCTGCAGGCACCGCCTCCCTTGAATGACCAGCGCCCGGAGGGTTTGCCACTCGGGCGGCTTTGTGAAGGATCCGCTCCCGATCCGTCTAGCGAAAGGACGCACAAAGAAGTACAAGTATGATAAGACCCAGGGAACTGCACAACGGTAGTTTCGAGTTGGAAAGAACCAGCCCTCCGTCCGTGCAGGTTAGGCACAAGCTCAAAGGAACTGTGATAACTGCGTAGGTCTCAACCGATAGCTCCATCCTTGCATGTAACTCGTAGAATTGTTACCTAAAGTGGGCGGGGCTCAGGAA